GATGGTAACTCCATTTGGTAGGGCCACCCCCTCATATAAGTACACCTACACCTTCTTTTCTCTAGAGCCTTTTGCTTGGGGTACCATTTTCTACTCTTGCATTTTGAGTCTGTGTTTTCCTTTGAGCTGAGTTGTGTCCCCTGAAGCTCTACGTGATTGGGTTTTGTTTTCCATTTCAATCCTCTACCCTCTGCCTTTTGGTTAGTGAGTTCAGTCTATTTACATTTAGGGTGGTGATATATGAGTATCTCCTTTGCTGGTAGCCCTGTGTCTCCGTTGTCTCTCTTCCCCTGTGTTTCCATTATTTAATTTGGTGGTAATTTGTGATTCTTCCCCCTCATTTCCTCTTTTCTGTTATACATCTCCGTTCTCAATTATCTTTGTGCCCTTGTCATGAGGTTTCTACCAAAGAAAGTTTAACAAGGTTTCATGTGGCCTCTTTCACTGTCCTTCTCCCTCCCTGTCCCATCTCTTTCTTCACTCTGATATGCCCACCTTCGGGTATTCCCTGCACAGTATCTCAAACATGTTTGTATGTTGAGCAGGGACTTCCTTGTTGAGTTGTAGCTGTCCAACTTCTTGTAACTTCAAGGGGAAAGAAACGGGGTCCTCCATGCCGCTGACATCACTCCACGAGAGGCTTCCGAGGAAGCCTGAGTTGGTGTGTAAAGACTCAGAATCTTCCTCGGGCTCCTGCTCCCTCTCCTCCCACGATGAAAACACTACAGATCTTTAAACTACTCTTCTAAGAAAAGACCACGAGAGATCCCTGGGCCTCCCTGATTCTACCTGATGTGGAATAGTGGAAAGCAGTAAAGAGCAGGCCCAAACGTGCCAGGCTTTGTTTCCTGTTCTGGCAGAAGACGGCGATAGGAAGGAGGGGGCGTGAGCTCTGACTTTGAGGTCCCCTAGCCCTACCCCTTCAGTAACTTTAATATGCTGTTCTGCCCAGCTGGATTAAATACTACGTTCTCAGAGATGGGGAGGAAGAGAAAAGGCCAACACTGGAACATGTGGGTAGAGTCAGGTTTAACAGAAAAATGTAGAGAAGTTCTCTCTTCCATAAAACCCACAGTTTTTTAATGAAATTAGAAGGTCAATCTGAGCTCTGTCACTGGTTATGAACTACTTACTACTTTTAGGCATGATCTAAACTACCCTCAAACAAGCCCCACTACTGTTTTCTCTGAAAGCCCGGGATCAGGTTAACACTTGGACAGGCCATAGACAGCCACGTGCTATTTAAAAAGTATTACTCCACTAATCGAGGCTTCCTTCGGATCTCATCCCATTTAGAGCTGAAAATTTCAACATCAGGCACTACTTAGGGTTAGCTCCAGCATCTTCGATACATGAGGCATTCCAAAATTTAGTATTTTCTGTTTAATAAAATGAAACTAGGTCTCTTAATAGCACAAACAGGTAATTTTTCTATTGTAGCGTACTTTGCTCCACTTCTCTCCTGGACAAAACAACTATACACCAACATCACCTTTATATAAAGCTTTCTCTCATTTCCTCAAGGAGACTTACTTTTGAAAGCCACAAATGTTCATATGATCTCATGAGCATAGAAATACTAGGCAGAAAACATTGCCTTCTTTATTGATTTCTACTGTCTATTTCTATTTTTCACAATGTGATACTTGATTCTTTGTTTTCATTGACCTCTTTGGAGGTCACCCCAAAACAAAACTTTTCATCACCCGTGGTGGTGGCAATGGCATATATGAAACCATTTACCATGGACTTTTCACAGTGAATCACCCTGATGGCATTGCTTACATGGAGACCCTGATGGCATTGCTTACAAGGAGGCCAAAGGACCGGCTGCTGGATTGGAATTGAACACAATGTCAAGTGTAGATTTTCCCACTTAAGACTTTCATTAATAACTCTTCAGGAATATAACTTTATTTTTGCTAGGTAGTAATTATAGGTGAGTTCTCTTTGGAATAGTGGTTGTGAGTCTGGTCTCCTTATTATGAAGCTAACTTTGAAATAATAAAAATGATATAATCACCTAAAACTCCCTTTTACATTCAACCAGTTACTTCAAAGTGGCATTTTAATCCCATAGATTTAATAGGTGACCAACTAGTACAACAACTTTCTATGCAAAATATTTTTAAGCTATACACAGCCTGTTATAAAAAACAAAACTTTTTAACGTATGACTAAATGCACAAAAAGGCTGATGAACGTGAAAGCAATGCCACAAAAATATTTTAATGCAATATTTAAAATTTCTGAAGCTATTAACAAATATAATAACAAAGATATTTGGTTAAAAAATTATTTTTCATTAATATCATTTTAATAGAGTATCCAGTGAGATATAATTTACTAAAACTGCATCTCTTTAGGGTATAAATATTCAACATATTTAGTGTTTACAGAGTTATGAAACTCTCACCACATCATCATAATTTAAATTTAGAATATTTGTGCATAGAAATTTCACCCCTTAGAATTTACTCTCCATGTCCTTTCATACCCTTAGGCAAGATAGATTGATACATGGTAGATAGACTGATAGATGAGTAACACATTATTCACATTATTGAATGCACATTATTCAAAAGCATATGTAATAAAATACCACAATTGACCATATGGCTGCCCATAAACCAAGACTCAGCAAATTTGAAAAATTAAGTAATGTTTTTCTAAATAAGTCAAAGTCAATGAAGATATCATAATAGAAATTTTGAACATCTAATTCATGATAATAAAATTAAATGGATCCAGGTTTGTGCTATTCTTCAAAGGAAATTTTTTTTTTAATTAATTTATTTACTTTTTAAATACATTTGTCTCTGCCTTCCCCCCACCTCTTTCCCTTGCCCCCTCCCACCTTCCCTCCCTCAGCTCTTCCCCTTTGGTTTTGTCCATGAGTCCTTGCTATATGTTCCTTGACTTTCCCCTTCCCTTCCCTTTCCCTGCCCCCCCTTCCCTCTTGTCTCTGTTGATTTCTTTTCCTTTCAGTGTTGCTGGTCATATTTGCCTTGCTTCTTTGCATTGTTGGTTAGGTTCCGCTTATAGGTGAGATCATATGGTATTTGTCTTTCGCCCCCTGGCTTATTTCGCTTAGCATGATGCTCTCCAGTTCCATCCATGCTGTTGCAAAGTTTAGTACTTCTTTTTTTCTTTCTGCTCCGTAGTATTCCATTGTGTATATGTACCATAATTTTTTGATCCAGTCATCTACTGATGGGCATTTAGGTTACTTCCAACACTTGGCTATTGTAAATTGTGCTGCTATGAACATTGGGGTGCATAGGTTCTTTTGTATTGGCGTTTTGGTGTTCTCAGGGTATAGTCCCAGCAGGGGAATCGCTGGATCAAAAGGCAGTTCCATTTTCAGCTTTCTGAGGAAATTCCACACTGCTTTCCATAGTGGCTGCACCAGTCTGCATTCCCACCAACAGTGGACTAGGGTTCCCTTTTCTCCACAGCCTCGCCAGCACCTGTTGTTTGTGGATCTGTTTATGATGGCCATTCTGACTGGTGTGAGGTGGTACCTCATGGTGGTTTTGATCTGCATTTCTCTGATGGCTAGTGATGCAGAGCATCCTTTCAAATGCCTCTGGGCCCTCTGTATCTCCTTCTTCAAAGGAAATTTAGAGCTTGAAATGCACATGTATTGAAAAAGTAAAAGTCTAATACACTGTGAAGTAAGTGTGCATTTCAAGATCTTAGGAAAAAACAGCAAATTAAACCAAAGTAGAAGGAATTAATGTTAATAGGGAAATGAATTAGTATAATACAAAAACAGTGAAGCTGAGCAATGAGTCCAAAAACTATCTCTGACTGGGACAAATAAATAAATAAACAATCTCCTGGCAAATTGGAGCAAGAAAGAAATAGAGTGGTACAAATTACCAATATCAGAAATAATAAAGAAATAACAGAGCCATCAGCCATTAAAACTTTTCTTAACGCTGTATTAGGTGCAACTATATAAACAAAACCATATATATGAAAAAATTAGTATAAAACACAGTTTACACAAAGTGACACCAGAATAAGTAGAAACAGAAATTTTGAATTGCCAAATAGTACATAACCATTAAAGAAACTGAAGCTTTCTGAAAAACTCTTAAAGCTTTTAACTGAGTCCCCATTAAAATTACTAGAACTACCAACAAAGAAAACTCCCAGCCCAGATGCCTTCACCAGTCAATATTTACACATGCCTTAAAAAGAAATCCCACCAATCTTCCACATAGACTTCTAGAGAATACATTTTTTTAAGTAATCATTTATAGTTGTGTATCTATTGCGCTTTTGTTAATCATTTTGTTGTTGTTGTTTTTATAGTAATCTTCTGTTATTTTCTTCTCATAAACACATCCTGTGTGGTTTGCTGCTTTTCTGTATTGCTTTGTATGTGTTCCTTTCTCTTGGTTCTTTGTATATCTTTCTGAAGGTTTTGTTTTGTAGCCATCATAAAGTTTATGTATATCCTTCTATATCTATAGCAATCTATTTTAAGCTAATGTCCATTTAAGTTCAAATTATTCCATAAGAATTATCTTTTTGCTCTTTCCTCCACATTTTATGTTATTGATGCCATGTTGTAGATATTTTTGTGTTGTGTATCCCATAACTACATATTGTATTTTGAGTTAGGTTACATACAGTTTTTTTCTTTTTCCTTCATACTGGGTTTTTAAATGTCTGATATGCTGTATTTCTTAAATATACCTCTGATTTTTTTCTTTTCATATATTTTCTTATTTCTGGTTATGACCTTTCCTTTTCTACTTAAAGAAGAGCTTTTAAGTAGAAATAAGACACGCTTGGACATTCAAGGTCATTGGCAACACTTATAATCATAGAACAGATATTAAATTCACTTGTTTACAAACAAGGTCATCTACCTTAACTCTTTCCACTTCCATCCAAATGTTCTGTTTGTATAACGTATTTACTTTGAGGTGCAGGAGTGATATTTTAACTTCCTGATTGATTTCTCCTTGGAGAAAAATGAGCAATGACAGAAGGAGTCATCAATTTAGAAAGAAGCCTTGTGTTCCTGCAGGATGTCTATGAAGTGGATTCCTGTTCTGCTGCTGCTACAGCTGAGTTTTCAGTTCAGCCCTGGGCATTGTGGAAAGGTGCTCGTGTGGCCCACAGAATACAGCCATTGGATCAATATGAAGATAATCCTGGAAGAACTGGTCCAGAGAGGTCATGAAGTGATTGTCCTGACATCTACAGCTTCAATTCTTGTTGATCCCAATAAACCATCTGCTTTTAAATTTGAGATTTATCCCACATCCTCAACAAAAGATGACTTTGAGAATCTTTTCATGAACCTGATCTTCAAAATGTCACATCTGCCTAAAGATACATTTTGGACTTACTTTTCACTAATGCAAGAAATCTTTTTGGAATATACTGAGTTTATACTAAAGCTCTGTAAAGATGCAGTTTTGAACAGGAAACTTATGACAAAACTACAAGAATCAAGGTTTGATGTCCTTCTTGCAGATGCTCTGGGGCCCTGCGGTGAGCTGCTGGCTGAGCTACTTCAAGTACCTCTTGTGTACAGTCTCCGTGTCTCTCCTGGTTATGTAGTTGAAAAGCGGAGCGGAGGACTTCCATTCCCTCCATCTTATGTACCTGTTATGTTTTCAGAATTAAGTGATCAAATGACATTCATGGAAAGGTTAAAAAATATGGTGCATGGGCTTTATTTTGACTTCTGGTTTCAAATGTTTTCTGAGAACTGGGATCAGTTTTATAGTGAAGTACTAGGTAAGTTATGTTTTTACTTGGTAATATGAAATTCCAATTTTCTTAGTGCCTTGGAAGGTGAGTTTGCATAAACATTAAGTCTTATATAAGTAAAATAATGAAATAAAGTGATAAATTAACCGCTCATTCTCACAAACATTATGGAGATGTTTAAATTGTAGGGTCCTAGAAGAACTGCTTCCTCTTGTATACTTTAGATTCATTTAAAAACTGAACTATTTTGCTATATTACCTGAAGGACTCTTTCACGATAGAGTGTCTCTATCTCAGACTCAGAAAGTTATAATTTGTGGTTTCTAATGATTGCATATTCCTTCACTAAGCCCTTACAATTCATCTATTTAAACATCTAGGGGCAGGGAAAGGAAAGGGAAGGGTCAAGTGAGGAACATGTATAAAGGACCCATGGACAAACACAAAGTGGGGAAGGATTGAGGGCGGGAACTTGGAGGGGGGGCAGGGGAAAGTGGTGGTGGGAAGCCAGAAACAAATGTATTTGAAAAAAATAAAAATAAAAATAAATAAATAATAAAATAAACATCTAAAAATTTACTGAAGGGTGGACCTTAAGCTGGTGAACTATTGGATTGGCCAAAACGTTCATTTTTCTTTAAAGTAAAAAATGAAAGGCATATTTTTCTTTTTCACCAATAATTGTTTTCATTTTTATTTTTATTTTTTTAATTTATAAATCATGTTTATTCTATTACAGATATCTCAGTTTACACCCCTTTACTCCCCTCCACCCACCCACCGCCACGCCCTGCTCCCACAGTCACCTCCCACTCTGTTGTCCATGTCCATGGGTCTGTCAAACATGTTCTTGGTCTAGTCCCTTCCCCTTCTTGCCACTGTTATCCTCTTACTCTATCCCCTCTGGTCACTTTCAGTCTGCTCCATGTTTCCATGCCTGTCATTTATTTTGTATGTTAATTTTGTTGAATAGATTCCACTTACAGTTGAGATCATATGATATTTATCTTTCATTTCATTTAGCTTAATATTCTCCAGTTCCATCATGTTCTCGCAAAAGGTAGGAGTTCTCTCTCTCTCTCTCTCTCTCTCTTTCATAAATACTGATTGATTTTATTTATTCTTTTAAAGGTCAAAGTTAATTATAAAATATTTTAAAAAATTAAAACCATTATAAAGTCACAGCAATTAAATCAACATGACACCAGCACAGAAATAATCAAGTAGATCAGTGAAATATAATGAGCATTCTAGAGACAAACGTATATATCTATCTAACAATGTAATATATGATTAAGCTGATATTTCAAATCAAGGGTTAATATGTCTCATTCAACAAATAAGGTACACGGACCACTATTGCTTTTGATAAAACAAACATAGAGCCCTATTTCACACATTATACAAGAAATATTCAGATGAGTTAAAAATCAATACGTAGAATCTAAGGAGTTTTACAAGAAAATAGAATGAATATTTGTCATGACCTGAAGTAAAATACTCAAACCCTGAAGCTATAAAGTAACTATTGACAATATGACTAAATTAAACATTTAACTATATAGCAATATACATATAAAAAAGTTAAAGGACAAGGAATAGAATAGGAAAGTATTTGCAACACATCTGAAACAAGGTTAATCGGGGTTTCTTTTGTTTTTTGTTTTTTTAGGGAAAAGACTTCTACAAACCTTTAATCAATAAATGCATAAAGAATACCAAAAAGTCATTTAAAGCTTTCTTAAAAATAATAGAAATAGACAAATAATATTTAAAGAAAACAGGTTTAGTTTCCACATATAGTAAAGGAACAATTAAAATAAATCATTGTCACAATCAGATTAATGAGTATTAAGATATAGGTAATATCAAGTATTGGCAACACTGAAAGGAACTGGGTATTCATAGAACATTTCTCTTCATCTTAAGGCAGTCCCTTTAGCATATTTTGCAATGCTGGCTTGGTGGGGTGTGTTCTTTTAGCCTTCTTTTGTCTGGGAAACTCCTTCTCTCACCTTCCATTTTAATTGAGAGCCTTGCTGGGTAGAACAGCCTTGGTCGCAAACCTTTGCTTTTCTTTACTTGGAATATTTCCTGCCGTTCCCTTCTAGCGTGCAGTGTTTCTATTGAGAAGTCAGCTGCTAGCCATATCTGGGCCCTCTTTTATGGGATGTTACTTCCTATTTCTCCCTTGCTTCCTTTACAATTCTCTGCTTGTCTTTGATATTGGCCATTTTCATGATATATGTGTCTCCAAGTGGGCCTCAGTGCATTCCTCTTGAATGCGACCCTCTGTGCTTCCTGGACTTGTCTTCCCATTTCTTTGTCTTCTCATTATTTGTGAGACTCTTCTCTTTGCCTCTGATTCTTAAGTTGATCTGTCTTGATTTCCTGACTTTGTGGTGTGAACTTCTTTGGTTGGAGAGCACTGTTTTTGCTTTCTGGATCTGCCCCTGATGATGTTAGATATTGACCCTGCCTGACCTTAGGCAGACAGTTTGAGACTTCCAGTAATCTACTGTTGGGGCTGTCTCTTTTAGCTATTAATCTAGTCACTCTGCACTCAGCAGACCATATTAGACTGCATAGGGCAGGGTGGAGTCTCTCCTGGGGGCCAAGTTATTGGGTCGTCTCATGCTGGTTCCTTACGGAGGACAGGTCTGCACTGGGATGCTGCGAGCTACTCTCTCCATTCTCTCCCCAAAGCCTCCTTCCACAGTCTCTCCTCAGGCATCTCTAGCTCACTCTCCCCTCCGTTTGCCACAGTCTCTCCTCAGGCATCTCTAGCCCACTCTCCCCTGCTTTTGCAGGGTAAGTGGCTGCAAATAAAAATTTATGCGTTGGCCCCTTAAACAGTTCTTTGCGTCTTCTGTCGCCTGTCTCTGGCAGAGAGCAACCCTGCCGCTTTTCGCAGCTGCCTGTTTTCTCTGTACTTTTGGGGCTCTGGTGCTGTGGGCTAGAGATCCCCACTTTTGGTTGAGACCCCGCTCTTCTCAAGGGGATCCATCTGGACGTTTCAATATCCTTCTGCTGCGGCCACCCGTGGGTGCCCCATCCGCCTTCTTGAGTCTGTTCTGCACTCCCTACCAGTTGGATTACGCTGAAGCCAATTCTTCTGTCTCCGAGGTTACAAGCCTCCACTCTGACTGCTGTTCAGTTGTTTGTTCCTGGTGACTTCTCCACAATTTAGCTGTAATTCCAGAGACTGGGAGGAGGACAGTGTGACTTTCACTCACTCCTCCGACATCTTGATTCTCAGTACTAGTCACCAATACCTTTACTGAGTTATGCATTTTCCATTTTCTTCCACTACATTTTGCCATTTTCAGGCAACTTCATAATTCCATCTCCCCAAAACCTTTTATCTTTTTACCAAAGAACTGTTCCAAGTAACTTTTGTACTCTTCTAGGGAATTGAAATTTTTTTCCATGAGAATTTTGTAAAGGCTGATATAAATGGAAATCTAAAGGCGCAATGTCTGGTGAATACAACAAATGAATCACAACTTCCCAGCCAAGCTGTAAAGTTTCTGCCCGGTCATCAAAGAAACATGTGGTCTTGCATGTTCTTGATAGAAGATTATGTGTTCTCTATTGACTAATGGTAGAGGCATTTCATTAAGTGCTACTTTCAGTTGGTCTAACTGGGAACAGCAGTACTTGTTGGAATTCATTGTTTGGTAATCTGGAAGGAGCTCACAATAGAAGATCCCCTTCTAATCTGACCATATACACAAGATATCTTCTATACATGAAGACTGGCCTTTGGTATGGTGAGTGGCTTATCATGATAGCCTCATGATCTCTTCCATTACACATTATTGTAACGTTTCCACTTTTCATCATCCATCACCATTTGTTTTATAAATGGGATGTTTCCACTCTTCCAAGGAGGGAATCACATGCGGAAATACAGCCAAGAAGGCTTTTTCCACATAATTTATGTGTAACTAAAACATCAAAGCAATTAACACAACCACGCTGATGCTAATGACTTTACATGCTTTATTTGGATATTTTGAGTACTTCGGTTCTCACGGCCAGGCTGTAGTGTTGATTGTTCTCAGTTAATGTCTCGCTTTGATCGTTATCAACTTTCACTGGTCGACCCGACTGTAGAGCATTGTCCAGAGAGAAATCTCGAGCACGAAGCTTTGCAAACCACTTTTTGACATGTTTGATCAGTTGCAGCATCTACTCCACATGCTGCACAAATCTTTTCTTGTGTGCAGTTATGTTTTTACCTTTATGAAAATAATATTGCATAATTTGGAGAATAAAGATGGCAGAGGAGTGAGTGATAGTCACACTGACCTCCTCCCAGTACCAATCTGGAATTACAGCTAAATTGTGGAGAAATCACCTGGAACAAACAACAATAGCGAGAGAGGAGACTTATAACCTCGGAGACAGAAGAATCGGCTTTAGCGCCACCTAACTGGTAAGAAGTGCTGTAGAGACTCAAGAAGGTAGACATGGAGCCCACAGAATGCAGCACCAGAAGGATGTTGATACGGCTAGTTGGATCCCCCTGAGTAGAGCAGAGACTTAACCATTGGCGGGGATCCCCAGCCTAAACCACCAGAGCCCTAAAAGTACACAGATAACAGCCACCTGCGAAAACTGGCAGGGTTGCTCTCTGCAAGAGACAGGCAACTAGAGACTCAAAGACCATTTATTGGGCCAACGCATACGTTTTTAATTTGCAGCAGCTTACATTGGTCTCTGGCAAAGGTGGCGGCAAAGTGCACTAGAGACAACCTGAGGAGAAAATGTAGAAGGAGGGTTTGGGGACAGAATTAAGAGAGTAGCCAGGGGGATCCTGTTACTGACTCATCCCCACATGGCTACAGCCATCATGCTCAGGCACACCACTCCCCTGAACAACAACAGCGTGAGAGGACACACTCCCCTGAATGGCAGCAACCTGAGAGGACCCAATTACACCGCCCCCAGGACGGATTCTACCCTGCCATAGAAGTTCACACCAAAAAGTCAGAAAATCAAAACAGATCAATTTAAGAAGCAGAAGGAAGGCACAAGAGTCTCACAGACAATGGCAAAAAAAGAACCTCCCACCCCAGTCGAAGGGAAAGGAGGAATCCCCACAAAGACAACTAAACAAAATAGAGGCTAGCTAAATATCACATACTTAGTTCAAAACAGTGGTTCTAAGGAAGCCTAAGGGGCTCCATGAGCTCAGAGAGAATTACAAGAAACCACAGGGAAACTGGGAACATACTGCAGACTCTATCAGCATGAAAGACATGGAAACTATCCATAGGAGACAAGAGGAAATGAAGAATATGACGTCTGAATTGAAGAACACAGTAGAAAGAATCAAAACAGGCTCAATGAAGTGGAGGAACAAATCAGCGAGCTGGAGGATAAGGTGGAAAAAAGCTCCCAGAAACAGCAAGAAAATGAAAAAAGGCACAAAAAGAATGGGGAGGCGATTAGGAAAATGCGGACAACCTGAAACGTAGTAATGTGCATATAATAGTAATACCAGATGGAGAAGAAAAGGAACAAGGGATAGAGAACCTGTTTGAAAAAGTAGTGATGGAAAACTTCCCTAATTGGAGGACAGAAAATTCACACAAGTCCCAGAAGCACAGAGGGTCCCATTTGAGAGGCACCCACTTAGGCCCACTCCAAGGCACCCCATAATTCAAATGACAAATATCAAAGACAAACGGAGAATGCTAAAGGAAGCAAGGAAGAAACAGTAGTAACATACCATAAACGAGAGCCCCGAGAAGGCAAGCGCTGTAGTAACGTCTCAGTAGATACACTATAAGCCAGAAGGGAATGACAAGAAACGGCCCAAGGAATGAAAAGCAAAGTCCTGCAAACAAGACTGCTCTACCCAGCAAGGCTCCCAATTCAAATGGAAGGCTTATGAAATAAGGAGTTTCCCAGACAAAAGAAAGCTAAAAGAATACACCTCCACCAAACCAGCATTGCCAAATATGCTTAAGAGACTGCTTTAAGAAGATGAAGAAAAAGAGTCTGTGAATACCCAGTTCCTTCTCAGTCACCAATACTTGATATTACCAATATTTGTAATACTTATTAATCTCATTGTGACAATGAGATTTTATTTTAATTGTTCCTTTATTATTTGTGGAAACTAATCCTGTTTTTGTATATTTCTTGCCTATTTCTATCATTTTTAAAAAGCTTTAAGTGACTTGTTGGTATTTTTTATCCATTATTTCATTAACTGTTTGTAGAATCTTTTCCCTTAAGAAAACAAAACTATTAACCCTCTTCTAGATGTCTTACAAATACGTCCTTATTCTATTACTTGTCCTTTGACTTTTTTATATCTATGTTACTGTATAGTCTTAATGATTCATACAGTCATATTGTCAATATTTTACTTTATAGCTTCTGGGTTTGAATATGTTACTTCAGGGTAAGAAAAATATTAGTTTGTATTTTCTCCTAAAACTCCTTAGATTTTACATATTGCTTTGTAACTCACCTGACTATTTTTAGTAGAATGTGTGAATTAGGGCTCTATGTTTGTTCTATCTCAAGTGATAGTGGTCCATGCACCTTATTTCTTCCATTAGCCTTATTTTCACCATTGATTTTACATATCAATTTAATCATACATTACTTTGTTAGACAGATATATATACGTTTTTTCCTAGAATGCTCATTTTATTTCATTTGTCTACTTGTATTTTCTTTGTGCTCTTGCCATGTTGTTTTAATTTGTTGAGACTTTATACTGGATTCAAATTTTTTAATATTTTATAATGGATTTGGACATAAAAAATGAATAAAAATCAATCTGCATGTAAAAAGAAGATAGAAAAGCAAGAAAGACCTCCTATCTTTTGTGACAACATGGATGAAACTGGAAAATATAATGCTAAGTGAAATAAGCCAGTCGGTGAAAGGCAAATACCATATGATCTCACTTGTAAGTGGAATCTATTCAACCAAATAAACTCATGAACACAATCAACCACAGGACAAACCATGGTCAACAGAGTGGGAATTGACTGTGGGAAAGGGGGTGGGGTAGGTTGGGTGAAGAAGGGCACAATGGTGTGGAATAATTGAGGCAACTGTGATAGAATAAACATGATTTTAAAATAAAATATAAGAAAATAAAAAATAATAATAATGCATAATATGCCTAAAATATTGCTTTTTTTATTCTATCCTCAATATTAAAATGGCTACATAAGAATTCACCAATTCTGAGGGGTTTTTTTAATTCATGAGGATATGACAGCTGTCACAATACAATCTTACTGAATTGTTCCAAATGAAATTAAAGACAACTAAGTGAGACTAGAGCCATCTTAAGGAAGGGAAAAAACAAACACAAAAAACCCGTTTGGAAAAACCAAATATTTTATGGTAGCTTCCCGTTCTTTAAAGAGAAAATGAGCTAATTTAAGAGCGCAGACATCTATTATCACACTTTATGAAAATATTCCACCAGTTATTCGCAAATATTTTTAGTGTACGAGTATTATTAAACTCCTGAAATAAACCCAATGCAGTTATAGTACCAGTGAATAGCCAGATAAAATCGAGAAACCACACTAAATAATCTAGAAAAACTGTATTCATGGCTATGGTAGAATTAATTTATTGAGGAGTGGAAATCATTGCTTACATTTGGTCTCTTTCATTTGCAGCTTTACAAGGAAAACAAACATATGTTTAATGCTACAGTTACTTAGATTGAATCATTTTCTATGACTGTGAATGTATGGCTGTGATGTTAGAGAAGAAAAACTATTACACATTTTCATCTGTACATAGTTCATAGATAGAAACAACATAATATAAAATGTGTGCATTATGTAAATATGTTTGTTTACAAAACCACAGACAATATAAATATCATATGGCTACATGATTCCAAGCTGTTTTCAGAACACTAAGTCATATATTCACATTATAATATTCTGATTTTATCTACTCTTTCTTTCTTTGTTTTTTCCTTTCAGGAAGACCCACTACAGTATTTGAGTTAATGGGGAAAGCTGAAATATGGCTCATTCGAAACTATTGGGATTTTGAATTTCCTCGCCCATTCTTGCCACATTTTGTATTTATTGGAGGACACCACTGCAAGCCTGCGAAACCTTTGCCTAAGGTAAACCTATCCGTGTCTCTTGTACTTTCTTTACTTCCCCTTTCTAGAGGTAATGATTCTGTGTTCTTCACTTAGAACGTCTGATCACACTGAGAGTGATATAGGAACAGGGAAAGTAACCTGACAATTAGAAACTCATCTCTTATTGTACTATGACACGAACCTCATGTTCATGATCATTAGAGAATAGAGTTATACATGGGAGAGGTTGGATAGAGTCAGGTAAATTAAGGTTTCCTTTATTCAATGCATCAGAAAGTATCAGCCATGATTCAAAGAACAATTTCAAAGTCAGCAGCATAGTGCAAGGATAAGTGATGTGTATGGAGAAGACCAGACACAATTTTTGCTCTCACACACAAGATACTCTACTTGGAAAGACATAAGCAAGTAACAAAAATTAAAACTGTGTGAAAAATATTACAATAAGGAAAGAACATAATGCTACTTTAATGCTAGAGAATATCCCATGGGAATGGATCATAATACATTAGGAGTGACAATAGCAATCAGGCATAAATGGGCATAAGACAGTTCTTCATCTTTTTTTTCTGTCCCCCTTCAACAACAAAAAGTTGTTATTTATGCACGAATAAAAATGTCTCTGTGGGTGTTGGGATCCAGCATTGCATGCCTAGGGGCCTGGGAAAAATCTCACCCACCTGTACATCAGATAATAGGCAGAAAGACACCAGTGCTGGCTGAGATGCCTACAGGATATTGTGACTTGCTTCCAGCCCCTAGTGGTTGCAGTCCAGGAGCACTTACAAATGCTGATCTGGACAGTCACCCATGGATTAGAGCGCTTTGGGGGAAGTTCGGGCTTCCAGAGGTGTTGCAGCACGCCATTGGAACACAAAATATATGAGTTTAAACTCATATATTAAATATATGAGTGTGAGGTACAGGGAAGCATGACTTTGGCAGCATCGTTCCGCCTCCAGAGCAATGCAGTTTAAAGCTAAATGAAAGCCTGTTGGCTCCAACAGGGGAGATATGATGAGAGAGTGGAGGAGGAGCTTTCCCTGGTGTGCAGAATGCTTCCAAAGGGCTCATTTCTCTCTCACGAGATCCGGGATACTAAATTAGGAGCTGAGTAACCGTTGAAAGGGAGCAAATCTGGAGAATGGTGCCTAAGATTCCCAGAGGGCACTCCCAAAGAGGCCCAGTTCCTCCTGACTGCGTTCAGTCCTCCATCGGGAAGCCTGACCACACACTAGGAAGAAACGTCTCTTGCAGATCCCCCACCTGGCCTGTGGGCACCAAAAGTGAACTGCATCCCAAATGCATCCCTCCTCCCCTCTACACGCAGCTCCATGTACAAGCTGCTAAGCGCAGCAGCAAGAGCAAGATTTGGGAGAAGGCTGCAGGCAAGGGGTTGCTGGCAGGAGAGAAACCACCAACTTGGGCTGTAGCACCACCTTCAGGAAAATAGGGAGGCTATCAGCCTCAGGCATGGGGCTTAATATATTGAAGGACAGACAAACAGGCTTAAGAATTCTCCCGCTAGAGGGAGAGCGGCAGGGAGCAGGCATTTCCATACAAGGTCTGAAGCAGCCCGACCTGTATCAGTAGTGACAAAGGGTACTTCTACCCTGAAAGCAGTGAAGATTAAACTAGGCGACTGCTACTTCAAATGCCAAAAACAGCAATGCAAGACTTTAAAGATCATGGAAAACCAGGAAAACATCAGATCACCAAGTTGGAAAATAATCTTCCAGCAACCAAGTGCAGACATGGAGATACACGATTTACCCAATATAAAATTCAAAATTCCTCTGTAAGAAAACTCAGTTACTATAAGCAAACAGAAGCTTGTGTACTGTTGGCAGAAACGCAAAATCAAGGCACCCGTTAGGAAAAACAGTATGGATGGTTTTGAGAAATTAAAACACAGCTACTGTATGACCCAGGAATCCCACTTCAGGGTGTATATCCAAAAGTAAGGAAAACAGGATATCCAAAATATATCCATAAACCCATGTTTATTGCACCATTATTCACAATAGCCAATAAATGGAAACAACTTAAGTGTCTGTCAACAAATGAATGGGTAAAAACATGTGAGATACACACGCACACAGACTGGAATATTATTCAGCATGAGAAAGAAAAGGAAATCCTACCCTTTGGGACAACACAGATGCACCATGAAGGCATTATGCTAAGTGACATAAGTCACAACGAAAAAGAAAAAATAATGTATGATACCACTTATATGTGGAATCCAAAAAGACAAACTCCCTCTGACTGGTGTGGCTCAGTGGATTGAGCACAGGCCTGTGAACCAAAGTGTTGATGGTTTGATTCCCAGTCAAGGCACAATCAGGGATTGCAGGTCAGGTCCCCAGTATGGGGCACTCAAGAGGCAACCACACCCTGATGTTTCTTTCCTCTCTTTCTCCCTCCCTTCCCCTCTCTAAAAATAAATAATAACATAATTTGAAAATGTAAAATTAAGACAGAGCATTTAAGTATTTTTTAATAAATAAATAATAAATAAGCAAACTCATATGAACACAGAGTTGAATGATGATGACCATGGCCTGCAGAATAGGGAAGGGGAGGTTGAGAAGAAGCTGATCAAAGGGCCCAAGCTTGCAAATCAAAGGTTACTAAGGCCCGAAGATGTAGTGATTATCGCCAACAATACTCTATTATATCCTTGAAAGTATCTAGAGACTAGATATTGAATATTCTCACCACACACAAAAAAAATAATGAGGTGACCAATAGAACTATTCACTACTATTGAGGTGGTAATCATATTATGATTTATAAATGAATCAAATCAACCCAAAATACATGTTAAACTTACAGAGTATTATGTCTCAATTATATACTAAAATTTAAAACAAAAGCTTGAAAAAACTCATTAAATGAAAGAGGAAACTTTTGGTAGGTCATTATTTTCCAGAGAGAAACTACAATTTAAAAGAAAAGATTGGAGGGACAGAATAAATGAGTATGAAATTTGGGCCTGATATCCACTGAACTTTTGGCCCTTTACATATTTAGGGGGTACGTGTAGTAAGTACATTGAACAATCAGAAATTTCTCTAGTACAGAAGGAAATAAAATTTTAAAACTGATAAGGATCAGGGAACAAAGAATAATTCTGAAACAATTTCAGTTAAACATGACATCACAAGGCACTTCATATATATTGATCTCAGCCACTCAAGAGAGCGACCAGGTCTCTGCCGCAGAAAGCCTGGCTGCACCTCGCCCAGCGTCGGGCAGGGGATCCCGGGGGGGACTCGGTGAAGGGATGATAAGGCCCCTCACAGCCCGTTCCATGTAGCACTTTCTATTAGAACATCATTTTACAATATGATTTCAGAGCAAAGGTGTCATACCTCCAGACACCAGAAACAAGGTCACTTAAATGAGTAGCTATACAAGTCCAATTCTTGATTACAAATAGGAATCTTAGAGCTAGCTATTCTTTGGAAATTTCAGGCAGTAATACCAGACTCATGGATTACACTGCTTCTCCAGCTTGTAAAAAGTTGTTTTGGGAGAAATTTACTTTGGCAAAAGGTGTTTTGGGATTCCAAAATGTCAGCAAAGGAAGACCCTGAACTCACACTCCTCTGGGAACACACTGAATATACACCTACGTGCAGAGCAAGTCTCCCTGAGAAACAGCTGAGGTTGGATTGAGCAACTTCTGCACAACAGGAGAGAGACTGCACAGTGAACGTTGGGAAACTGTGAGAATTCCTTGGGCTCTGTGGAAACTCTTTGGCATGGGAAGTGCCAGTGAGTGCCATTGTTAATGTTCTCTTTCTCCAGAGAACATGGGCAGAAATTTCATTCGACTGCTGTAGTCCATGTGCAAGGCCACCAGAGTGTGCCCTAGGCTGCTCACCCTACACCCACTCAGGGCTCAGACAGCCGAGCTGCCATAGCACGGCTGCAGCCACATGCCGCTGGCTGCTCCAAACCTGGCCCGCCAGCATACCAGGCTGCCCCCGGGTGTGCAGTCGGGGAACCTAGCCTATGTACGCCTTAACTTTGGCTACGCTGTGTGCCAGGGAACGCCTGGTGCCTCAAGCAACCACTTCCAAAGTCACTCCATCAAGTTCACGAAAGGTAGCTGTTTAATTGTTGAAAATACATACAGAAAATTAAACAAATGATGAAACACAGAAATATGTTCCAGCTCAAATGATGAATAAACACCTCAGGAATAAACCCCCTGAAAACAAGGATGAGTAATTTGACTCATAAAGTATTCAAAGTAATGGTCATGAGGATGCTCATAAAACATGAATGAAGACTAGAAGAACACAGTGAGAGCATTAACAAAGAGTTATACAACACAAGAAAGAACCCATCTGAAGAATACAGTAACTAAAATGAAAAAGAAAATGTGCTGGAGGAATCAACAACTGATCATATACTAATGAAGATTAAGCCAGTGACTTGGAAGACAGAATAGTGAAAATCCATCTTCCAAATCAGAAGAGCAAAAAGAAAAAAGGAATGTAAGAACAAAACAAAAGAAAACAAAACAAAAAACAAACAAACAGAAAAAAGATGAAGAATGTAAAACTTCTGGAACAACATCAAGAATGTAATCATTCCCATTATAGGCACCCAGAAGGACAATAGAGTGAGAAAGGGGCAGAAGCACTATTTGAAAAAATGGCTAAAAGATTTCCTAACCTGAGGAAGAAACCAGACATCCACGTCCCGGAAGTTCAGAGTCTAAAACGAGATGAACACAATATATTCCCACGAATATATTTTATAATGGTTATAATTAAAATGACAAAAGCAAATGATAAAGACAGGATCTTGAAGGCAGCAAGTAAAAAACAAGTAGTCACATACAAGAGAAACATCATAAAACTATCAGCTGCTTTCTGAGAAAAATTACATGAGAGACGGTTGTGGCAGCAGAATGTATTAAAAGTGCTAAAATAATGGAAACTACAACTAGAAGACTCTGCCAGGCATGCATCTCATTTAACATTGAAGGAGATAGAAAACATTTTCCAGACAAGCAAAAATTACAGTTCATCACCAATATACCAACTTTACAGGAAATATTAAAAGGACTTTTCTAAAATAGAAATTAAAAAGGCTATAACCAGAAATAAGAATGAAATCTCACTAGTAAACCCCGGTATATGATAAACACAATGAATCAGTGACTTAAAAGCCTACTATAAAGCTTCAAACACAATAGTGGCAGATTAACAATAAGTGTAAAGGAGATCACAATCATAAAAAATGTTAGATATGATGTCAGAAACAAAACATGGAGGGGGCAGTAAAACATAGCTCTTTTGTAATGTTTTGAACAGTTTAAAATAGACTGCCAGAGATATAGATCAATATATCTCAACCCCATGGTAACAACAAACCATTAATCTATAAAACATAAACCCCTCCCCCAAAACAAAGAAAAAGAGCATCCTCCAAAACACACAGAAAAGCCTAAATCAAACCAGTAAACCAAAGGGATTTTCAGTAAAGGAAGAGAGAAACAGAAAAGAACTACGAAAGCTATCAAAAAAGCAATTACCCAAGTGGCAAAAAAGTACACCTATCACTAACTGCTTTCAATGTTAATGGACTAAATTCTCTAATACAAATACATAGGGTGGGGTTCCAAGTTGGCTGTAGAGTAGGTGAAATGTACACACATCTCCTCCCTATGTGAAATAGGATTTGCAGTTAAAGTATAGAGCAGACAACCTGAATGGCCCACTGGAAGACAACTGAACAGCAGTGTTCTTTCTAAGCGCTTATAGGAAAAGGTGCGCAGAGGCTGGTAATAAGGGCTGAGATGCAAAGAGGGATGGCCCCTGCACCCAGGTCGGGTAGCTGAGAGGCTGGGAGGATGGATCGGTGGCTGCAGAAGTCCCTCCTGAGACATGCAGGGTCTCAACCTCATGTCAGACCCCCAAACCAGTGAACCATGGCCAGGAAGAAAAGCCCGCATAGTATTAGGCAGTGAAAGTCAGCCGGGGCTCAGTCTGCTAGAGGGAGAAGGGAGTCTATTAGCATCCCGGGTGCTCTCCTAAAGGGCCAGCACACAGGAGCTCACCCTTGGGCACTTATCCAGGGCTCTGGTAGATGTGAGGCCACTCAAGGCACATGGAAGCCATAAATAGAAGATCTGGGAAGTGTGGCCCCAGAAACAGACCTGGAGGGTCAGCTACTGAGGTTCCAGTCCTAAGTGAACGTGCCACATGCCCTCGGGAGCCATCTTCGAGGCTCAAGCTCTCCTGTTCTTCCAACACAAACTGGGGGCAGGAGCAGGGTATGTACGAACCTAGTCCTTAAAATACCAATAATAACACCCTCCACGCTGGAGTCCAGCAGAGAGGCCCATTGGCTGCACCCACAGGGACGGGGCCTGTGCTCTTTTCCTGGAGAAATGATAGGCAGACTCTCAGATGGTGAATGAACTGTGTGGCTTTGAACCAGGGCCAGCTTTTCCCCCTCCCGCAGCTTAAGCAGGTGCCCCTCTCAGCAGAAGACGCCCTGGTCGGGGTCTCTTGGCAGCATGGCTCTGGAGCTAAGGCCAGACGAGCAGCTTGCTCCCCTCCCATGAACCGGTGTCACCCCCGTGAAGGGCTGCCTTGTTCTGCACCTCCCAATCCCACGGGTCCCACCCTGCTGAGCACAGCTCCGCGGGGGTATGAGGGCACAACTCAGAGCTGGGAGATGTGGCACAACGCCCTCGGGACCTCCCGTAGGGGTCTCTGGCAGTGCAGCTGCAGAGGGGGAGAGAGCGAGGCGAGCTTCTCAGCCCTTCCCGAGGGCTGGCAGCACCCCCAGCACACAGCTGCCTCCATGTGTTCCTCCAAGGCTCCCTGGCCCCATCCGGCTGCGTTCAGTTACAAGAAGGGAAGGGTTCAGGGGCTGGAGCTTGGAGCCAGGAGCGTCAAGGTGTAGCTCCGTTGGGGTCTGCAGAAGGGACTTCGGAGCAAGGGGAAGGCATGCAGCTGGCTCCCCTCCCATAGACCAGCACCACCCCCAATGGAAGACTAACTACACATGCTTTTGTAAATACCATCTGCCCCCTCCTGCTGGGCTCAGTTCCATGCAGGGCAGGCAGCTCCACTCAGAGCTGGGACGGTCACAGTGAATCACCCTCAGAGGCTCCAGTCTGGGGTTGAGCAGGCATGGCTACGGGGAGGCGGTCGTGCGTGCAGCTGGAACCCTCTTGTGGTCGAGCCAGTACTGCCCCTCCCACACACACAAATATATGAAAGAAAGGCATTCACGCTCATCGATTGCATACTCCAAAGGGACTGAGGGATTACATCTGTTAAAAACAACCTGTGATAGGAAAAAAAAAATGGAAGTGCCTCAAAAACTTAAAAACAATTACTGCTTGGTCCAGTAATTGCACTTCTGGGTGTATATTCACAACAAAGACAAGAGATTCCTGATTAGATATTTCCCCAACCAAACTCATAGCAACACCATTCACAAGAATTAACAGATGAATACAACACAAAAGTCCACTGACGGATCAATCAATGAACAAAATATGGTATCCGCATGCAACGGAGTACTGTGGGTTACGCACGCTTGAGTCAGGTCTGACTCCTGATGACCTCATGACTGAGTCCCGTCCACAACATCCCGGCCTAACAGCCCTCTCAGCTCCTGTAAACTCATGCTTGCGGCTTCATTGATGGAGTCGTCCATCTCACATTTGGTCTTCCTCTTTCCTGCTGCCTCCTGTTTTCCCCAGCATTATTCTCTTTTCCCAAGAACCCTGCTTTCTCATGATGTGCCCGAAAAGTGAAAGTCCTGGTTTTGTGATTTTAGCCTCCAGAGATCTTTCAGGATTACTTTGCTCTAAGACCCACTTGTTCATCTTTCTGGTGATCGGGGTATCTGTAAAGGAACATCACTCGGCCTCAGAATTGAAGGAAATTCAAACAAATGCTGTAACATAGCTGAATCTTAGGGACATTTTGCTAAGTGAAATAGACCACTCACAAAAAGACAAATACTGTATTACACTTATGTAAGGTGTCCAGCCCAGTCAAATTCATAGAAACAGAAAACAGGATGACCTTAGTCGGGGACGGGCGAAATGGGAGGAGGATGGAGATACAGTATAAGAAATACAGTTCCAATGTGCAAGATGAGAAAGTTCAGCCCATGCGTTAAGCAACAAAAAATATATATACACACACTGAAATGCACACATAGAAATAAGTAAATGGCAACTTTCTGTTACATGTATCTTATCACAAACTTAAAAAATAGGCACTATCCTTATAACTCCTTATAATAATTAATGTTTTCTCTTTAGTTATTTGTAGCAATCCATTCAATAGTGTTCACTCTGTTCTTGCTCCATCATGATGGGACAAATTCTTTCTTCTCAGGAAATGGAACAGTTTGCCCAGAGCTCTGGAGAAGACGGTATTGTGGCGTTTACGCTGGGGTCAATGGTCACTAACCTGACAGAAGAAACCGCCAATACGATTGCATCGGCCCTTGCCCAGATTCCTCAAAAGGTTTGATAAAGTACCTGAGAGTAGAAAAACAGTGAGTGTGTTAAACTTGGTAAAGGGTCTCATTAGAGACATTTCTACATTAAAGGTAACCTCTTAGGAGAGCTCCAATTTATCTGAGATCTCAATTTAAAAACAAAATACAAGCGGCAGGTGCTGAAGTGATGCAGAGGGTGTTTTTGATTAGAAATAACTTTGACATTAACTCCGTAATCACAGAGAAGTATATTTCAGAGGGACAGTGTGAGATTTGGTATTAATATAGTACTGTACGCTGGTCCGGATATTGCCAAATTCTATCCTGTCAGTTGCTCCATTTTCTTGCAGGAAATCTAGGGAACTGTACACACTACAGGTGTTCTCAGAAAGCACTTACATGGTCACAGGAACGTAAACCAGGGAATCATAATGGTCTGAGAGGCATCGTGCAGTTTAGACATGCCAGGTAATCGAGGCCTCGCTTACTTGCCCTGAATTTCGGAAGAAGCCGGTTTAATGAGTTTTTCCAGGTGATATTCAGAGGGAGGATGTTCGGGGCTCATCAAGCTGCATCCAGATACCCAAGCCAACAATAGTAAGGGAAAGAATGAGAAAAGAACTGCCTTAAAGAGAGAGAGAGAGACAGAGAGAGAGAGAGAGAGAGAAGACTTGCCTGGTGAGTTGGGCCTGGCTAAATTTTAAAGCAGGAGACATGAAGCCAAGGGTGGAGACTGGTCCAGCTCTCAAGGTGGCCCTGACTTTATAAAATGTGGTCCAGAAACAACTCATCAGAATAATAACCTCCTGACTGAAGAAGCAGAAGGGAAAATTCAAAAGAGTCAACCAGTAGCAAGCCTAGCATGGACCAAGTTCACACGCTCCCCCTTCTCCAAAAAACCCAGCAGTAAGTTCTTCGTATATATGAAAGGCACTTGAATTCTCTGGGTATTTGTGAAGTACTTGGTTTATTATGCTACATTATTGGTTTCCTAAATGATGTAGCTTTCTCCCTATCACTCATGTTAATTTGCTGAGAACAGAAGTCTCTTGAAGGCTCACTTAACAAACAAATGTTAACTAGCTATAAACCAGCATCCAGCTTGTGAGGCTTTAGAAGAAATGTCAAAAAAATATAACTTTGGTACTGGACTTGGAAGTTGCTTGGTCGTCTATAATTAATTAACCATATTAGTCGGTGCCTTGTAGCACACTGACAGGTGTTCACAGGCAGTTGCGTAAAACTTACAGTCATCCTCATATTTGAAGTGGCAATGGGCTTCTCAAACACTCTTCTACATGTTAAGAGAATTGCCAGACTCGCTAGAATGATAATACTACATTCATGTAAGAATTGCTACTTGAAATTTCTCTTAGAAGAGGTAAAGACTCATAAATGGTCGTCTATAGGAGCTGAACATACTCCTAGAGCAGACATTATCTATTATTAATAATAAAGTATTGAATATCCGAGTAATTTAATTTTCACCAGTAGCTGATAACATTGATTTTGTAATTCAAATCAGGTAAAACTCTAATAAAATAACTCATGAAACTAGTGCAAATGAGTAACCATGTCCCCAACATTCAAAAAGAAATAAACGGGGTAACATTAAATCTGGAGGATGAGAGCTGGTGTAATAAACAGTTAAAGAAAGAGTAGAGATTATCAGCAATTTGCTGGAATGGGTCATCGATAATCTCATTTGTCTAACCTCTAGCATCATGAATGCATTCATATCTGACTGAATAGAAAAGTAAGTACACGTAATATGAGAATCTACTCCTCTTACATCAGTGCTTTTCTGGTCCTCCTTACCTAACATGTCTGCCCTCATTTCCTCATCTGTAACATGGAAGGGGTTCAACTAGATGTCTCTGAATCTATTTAGGATTTCACACGCGATAATGTTGAAATTTGACTCATGGAACGTGTTACTTTCTTTACCTTAACAGGTTATATGGAGATATGAAGGCAAAAAACCAGATACGTTAGGGCCAAACACTCGCCTTTATAAGTGGATCCCCCAGAATGACCTCCTTGGTAAGACTCTAGAAAACACTGCAATCAGCGTCAACTCAACCAGCTTGATGGACAGCTCACTAGCACAGAAATTTGTTGAGTATCTCTTATCAAAACCTCAAAACTAAGAATGAACTTCCTTATATGTATTTCCCAGTCCTAGGGGAAAAGAATAAGATCTAACGGTTGGCATCTTATCCTACACAGTCACGTTCCTTATGGCCACAAAGTATCTTCATTTCCTGTGTAATCGCCTCTCACAGGGAGTATCTCAACACTTTCTGGGATATCACTCTGTCTCCTACTTCTCTCCTTACCCCAATCCTTTAACCCACTGAAGGGTGTTTAAGTGCCCTTGAAAAACACCAGCTCATCTTTTGTTACCAGTGACTCTCCACTTTCCCTGGGGATAAAATTCAAAATCTCTTTCTGAAGTAATAATGGTTCTTTAGACTGTGTAGCTTTTCTTTCCACTGATGCTCTGCCAACGTCATCACATGGCCTGCTGCCTCCACACCCTAAATATCAGACTCGCTGACTTCACCATTTGATTAAAAGAATATATTCTAACTTGTCTCACCACTGTTTCTGCATGTGCTTTTTAAAATTTTATCCAGCATATTCCCTTTCATTTTGTCCACTGGCAACTATCCGTGTTCAAGGGTTAAGAAACATACCAATCTTCGGTTGTAAGCCTTCCCTCTCTCCCCAGAAGACCTATGCGCCGCTTCCTTTGAGTCTGAAAGACGTTTTAATACAGTCTCAAGTGCATACTAATCTGTTACTAAATACGCTCACTGTCTCTGTCAGGGCCTTCATTGCCAAACGCTCACTATATTCCAAGATTTACAATTCATAACTTGCTTAAATTCACCCAATCCTAGGTCATCCAAAAACCAAAGCCTTTATAACTCACGGTGGAGCCAACGGCGTCTATGAGGCCATCTGCCACGGGATCCCTATGGTGGGCATCCCTTTGTTTGCGGATCAACCTGATAACATCGTTCGCATGAAGACCAAGGGAGCAGCTGTCCGACTGGACATCGACACAATGTCTAGTGCAGACTTGCTCAATGCACTGAGGACAGTCATTAATGACCCTTCGTAAGTATCACACTTCTAATTGACAGTATTTATACAGAGGTTCTTCTGTCAAGGGTGCATATGAGTTTCATCCCATTTTTAAGAGCCTGCTTTGCACAGGACCATAATTTAACCCATGTTAAATCTACTTTTGTTTTCAACCACTCATGTATTCCCCACTTGCATTTCAACTCCATTTTTCATGCGTAGCCAACTAGTGCAACGGTTTTCCCCTCCGGTGATATAAAATAATAGATAATTGTAAGAATGCATTTTTTTAAAATGTATGACAGAACACACAGGAAAACTAAAATGAACCAGAAGAAATATCATAACATGTTTCAATTCACTACCTACCATTTCAGATAGTATAAATTTCTCTTCTCTCAAAACTTTATTTTCTTATAATCTTTGAAACAGATTTTATGAGATATTTTGTAGGTACCTTACAGTCGCCGGTTCACTTTAAAAAATTTAAATATCCGTAGTATGTTTACAAAGCTATGAATCTATCACCATTATCAAATTTGGGGTAGTGTCATCATCAGGGTCATTTCAGCATCTGGTTTATGTTGAGGAAAGACATTCCAAAACTATCAAAAAAATTTCATACAACTTTATTTGAGCCAATATCTGAGGACCGGCCCAGAAGCAAGATCAACAGCTGAGAAAAGGCTCTGGAGAACGGCAGTTTGGCTCTTCTTTTTCTGCAGTTAGAATCAAAGGAGAGAACGTAGGAAAAGTTCCACGAAATCCACTACTGCTAGAATAAAGAGGCATGAAAGCCAAGTAGAGGTGGGCGGGGTCAGAAAAGCCACTAGGATTGGACAAAAAGCAAAATGGAGAGATACACACCTCTTCTTCATTGGTAGGTACGGAATGGTTGACATTCAAGCTTTACAGTAAACACAGCTGGCATGTGGGCAACAGGAGAAGTCGGTGGTCACTGTGCTCTGGTGCTTGCGGTTAGGCCTCCGAGAAACTACTCTGGCATTTCAGAGGCGTGTTATCCTTGAAGCACAAGAACAATGGCCAGGCTCTTTTAGGGTCAACACTAAACTTTTACTGAGGAAGCTGTAGGCCTGGAATGAGACCACTCGCTAGGACCTGCCCTGTTGGAAACGTATGATCAGACCATCCTGAGTGGTGACCCTGTGCCCCGGATCTTGTCCAGCCTGCCGTGCAGCCCCTTTCCCGCTCACACGGATAGCCCTGAGAATGGCTGCTAGGATTTCCTCTGCTGGAAAGAGGTGACTTTCCACCTTGCCTTCCATCTTCGCTTTGTGAAATATTTGTCATCAGAGAATTTCACTTTAGCCAAACCATCTGCAAAGACCCAAATAAAAACACACTTCTTCCGCAATTTTATGACATTTATTTGAAACATACGGATGACACTTTAAAAACCTTTCATGGGAAAAATTCCCTTGGGCAATTTAATTCCTTTCAGTATTGGCATTTTTCTCTCTGTTTCTCCTTTAGCTACAAGGAGAATGCTATGAAATTATCCAGAATTCACCACGAGCAGCCAGTGAAGCCTCTGGATCGAGCAGTCTTCTGGATCGAGTTTGTCATGCGCCACAAAGGAGCCAAACACCTGCGGCCGGCCTCCTATGACCTCAACTGGTTCCAGTACCACTCTTTGGATGTGATTGGGTTCCTGCTGGCCTGTGTGGCAACTGCTGTTCTTGTCGTCATAAAATGTTGTCTGTTTTGTTGCCGCAAGTTTGCCAAAACAGGAAAGAAGGGGAAAAGGGACTAGCTGTTTCTGAGGCCGGAAGCTGATGCGCCGTATACATGGGGTCCCTCCAGCTGATTCCAGCAAGAAGCAGTTGCTCTTCCTGTAGCAGAATGAATTTTCACAATTTAGCTTCTCATTTCTGAATTTGTTTTCAAGTGATTCCTACCTGTTTAAGATTTATGAAAATATCGTGTCAAAGATAAAAACTGGTCAATGTAAAACAAGTAATCCATGTTCCTATCCATTTAAACTTTTATTGGACGTCCTAGTTATACCAGAAAAATAAGCTAAACTGTGTTTCAAACATTACACATGGACATAAGAACACTAGGTGGTATATTCACAGATTGATCTTATTTTGCAAATACACAGAATATTTTAACAGCACATTGGTGCAAAACTCTTACTTGTATCTTTTGCTGAAGAAACTATTCAATACTTAGAACTGTGTAAAATGATTAAACCTTCCATTTGAGTTTGGGAGACCTGTTATGCTCCTTGGTTTTGCTATACATACCCAGAGTCAGCAACACTACTGCCATAAACACGCGGTAGGTCATTTGCTTTCGTCTGATTTACGTTAATTTCCTTGCAAAACGAACATGGGTTTAGAAATAGGAGAGCGGCCAGCTGCTTCTGACTTTGGATGACTTTGGATGACTTTGGATTCAGGAGCTCACTCTCTTTAGCTCAGAGCCCCTTAAAAAGAGTCACCCATAGCCTTTCACTCTTACTCCAGCCTTTGATAACAGATGCGCGACCCAACTGTGGGCTTGATAATGTAGAACCCATTCTCTAAAGGGTCTTATTCTGTGTTCTCTCCAAATGTGTGTGTGCATGTATAGGCCCACTTCTTGCAGAACAAGACACAGTCTCACTGGGCTACTTACAGAAATGAGGAAAACTCAATGTGTCAGTTCAATGGAGTTTGAAATAATGATTATCATTTCAAAAAACCACACTAGATCTGCATACGTCATTCCTTCTCTCTTTCCTCAGAAGCCTGCCGTTTCATCCCGCCCATTAACTTAATACACAAACACTGAATACTTTGGCGTGACAAAAAATCGCTTTCTTTTAAACCTAGGCACACCGTGACACACCATAATCAGTACCAGCGCCCACCAAAATACAAAAATCATGTAAATTTTATTGAAATAGAAAAAGCAAATCACAAGGATTTTCAAAGCCCTCCTAAAGCACCAGGACGGAAGTGGTCCACGTGAGAAAACCATTCCTGTCTTTACTGGTCAAAAAGACCATCGTTTAAGTCTCACAGTAAACATTCTCGGGAATAAGGCATGAATTCATTTTAGAAACAAACTGAAACTGCAGCCTTTGGTGTTAACACCGAACAAAGTTATCACTGAAATTTCCATATAACTCTCCTAAGTATTTATAATAATTTTACGGAAACACAGAAGTAACATGATCCCATAGTGCATAATAATGTTAAATCATGCATCCAAGCTTAATTTTCCTCAAATCTATCCTGTAACACACATCACAGTTAAATCACAAAGGAAAAGTCAGACATTCCAAGACAAAACCAAATGGAGGATATGGACAAGCATCTCACTGACGAAGGAAGTCTCCAGTAACATAGAAAAGATGGCAAAGGCACTGATTTAATTTCAGCGTAAACTGAGTCAGTACATAGTTACCCACACAATATTCATCGCACCTAAGAATCTACACGGGAAGAGGCCGCTGCGGCTGCCAGAAGGTACCCACCGTGAGGCTGAAGCTGCCCAGCGTCAAGAGCCCCTGAGTTCTGGAAGCACAGGCTGCCAGCGACTCTTCCAGCGCCGCGGGAGCCAGAGCGGCTGGTTCCTGTGTCACCTCTGCGACCCCAGCCTCCGGCTTCCGAGGTGGGATTATGGGCTTAGCTTGCAGTTAGCGCTGCCTGAGCTGCGTGTGCACCGACAGCTGCACCGGGCTACCGCGACCACAGGTCCGGCAGGCCTGAGTCTTGGCTGCCCCACCTCGCTGTGCCTGCTCTGTTCTGCCCGGATTGTGTGCCATTACGGTCCGACGCTCCCACGCGTGTATCAGCCACAGCTATACACACCTAGACTGCCGCTCTGCCTTGCCACCTAATAGCTCCAGCAACGTGCCCGCTCCTCCCTGGGTAACAGCGCCTAGGTGCTGTCCGACCAGCCTCTCGTGTTGGCCAGCCATTCAAGGTGCTTGGGAGCTTCAAGGACCAGCACAATCAACCGCTCTGACCTTGGGCCTTGCTATCGCTGAGTATTCCCTCCGCTGCCTCGAGCTAGGTGGATGGCAGGGTGCTCGTGTGTAAGTGTGGTCCTGGGCTGCCCGCAGATCTGGCAGTGTTGGGGATCGCTGCAGGTCTGGACCCCTGGTGCAGTTGCAGCCCTTTGCCCTGGATGCCTTCAGAGGATATTTTTGCTGCTTTCAGCTCTGGAGCCGCAGCCCCACTGTGCAGCTTGGGGAGCGTGGGCATCTGTGAATGATTTGCAGGCCTGTTAAACAAAGCATTCTGCGGCACCTCAAACCAAGGAAAAGGGCCACTCCGTGCAGTGGCTGAGCCCAGGAGAGTGAGTTTCTGTCCCCGGCTAAACCTCGATAAGCTCTTTCCGGATTCCGGGGGGCACCCCATGCCATCAGGCCTCAAGTGGAGGTGCACGTGCGTGTTTGCCCCATGCCTGTCAACGTCAGAAATAGCCAAACCTGTGTGAACTTGTATGAGCCTATCTGAGCCAAACTGATGACAGTTGCTGGGAAGCAAAACCTCGACGGTTCACCCTGCTCTCTACATTACAATCTAAAGAGAAGATGTAGTGGGTTCCGTGCAATCCATCGGCCATAGGTGAGGGAGACTGGAGAAGGCAAAGCTTGGAAACCGGTGGAACTGGAGGAAAGGTAAAATGAAAGACAGGTACTTCTTTTACGCGGGTGAGTACAGGAGAGTGAACACTCAACAATGAACTCATTAGCCGAGAGGGCACTTGTGGTCTCCTCTTGGGTGCTCTGGTGCAGTATCTGTGTTTTAAGGGGTCCTGGAGAATCAACTTTGCCATTCTAAACTATGTTACCGCACATGCTGAAAGAGGATACACGGGCACAATTAAGGTAAAGATTGACTTTCGTCAGGGAAGAGTCGAGCCTAGGACGTGCCGACTTGCCGTAAACTGATTTCGGTTAACAACTTTTGCTTTCAGACCATTCTTTGTGGTTACTTCAGGTCTCTAGCTAATGAGGCCACCACACAGGCCCCCGCTGGATTTGCCAGGTTTAGCATGTGGGCCCTTCTCGTCCACATGCCCTCCACATCCCTCTGAATCATGTGGATCCAAGAGATGCACACAGCCTAACACTCCTAGGACAGGCAATCCCAGAAGGGCGTGAAGGTACTGCTGTCCTGTCAGCCATCCACGCGTTAGGCTCTTTAACAGTCCAGCAAGTTGCGGGGGCCTCGTGGCCTGGGCTGCCAAAATCGATGGCACATTTCTGAAGTTCTGAGGTGGCCGGCACTGTCTGACCTGAGAAAGATGCGGATTGCCATATTCTCAATGACAGTTATTCGAAGATTTTTCAAAAATATAGAGAAGAGCTGGGATTGATTCTATGATGCCTGAGAATACAGGGACTCCTTATTATAGGAGGCTTTTCTATTGTAATTTGCTGGATGACAGTAGCTATTAGCAGGTTCAGGCAGTGGGTCTGAGAACTGCCTTGTGCTTTCAGCACGCGGTGTCTTGAACAAGCGTGCTGTAATGTAAGTCACAGGATTTTGTGGCAGATTTTCTTTCACCCTCCGCAATCAAAAGCTTTCTGAATCATTCAAATTATGCCTGCAACTCAAGACTAGTAAACTCAGTCTTAACGAATTGATGACAGATGATATACGTAAGGTCATTTTATTGTTTACTAAGACGTTCTTGGGATATGATTTATACTTCTCATGATACCATATATTCTACAGAAGTAAGTGTTTAGAATGTAAATTTGTTTCATTACCAGGGAGGGGGGCATTCTAGTCAATATTTTGAAGAATATCAAAGAGGATATTTTCAGTTCAGCAACATAAGGAAAACGACCTTTATAGTATGTTAGTTGCCTTATAAGTTTCTGGGGGTTTTCCTTAAAGTCAGCTTTAGGGTCTACCTTATGGTGTACACAGACAACATTTCTGAAGTATGGTTTGGCTTGATCGGACTCCAACCAAGTCCAAGTCTAAGTCCAATTCCCAACCTTCGGCTCCTTTCCCGCAATTTTTTTTCCTAAACAAAGGTATTTTTATTTTTGGATTCACAGTATGGCTAGGAATCCACTACAATGCTGATTAAACTGAAATGGAGAACATTTATTTATTCCCAAGCTCAGGTGGATAACATCGACTTTTTGACCAATATTGCTTATTTTGCTCTACTGTATGTAAATACCCTTTAGGCGATTAAAGACATTTCTCTGTATTAAACAAAAAAGAATCTGAGACTATTTCAGGGAGTATAATGAAGAATAAAGCTTTAAAATGAAATGTAAACATACTGTTTAACTTTGCAATTCTACACCTACGATCTGTCATATAGAAACTTACACAGGCACATATTTAAATATACTATGTTCCCTCAGGTACCTAAGCACCTGTCGGTCAATGAACACACTCACCTCCTGTGGAAGGGATAAGTTATATGCAATTACAGAGAATGTCAGATTACCGGCAATATAGTTGCATGTTCTCCCTATCACATCGTAAATGTTCCGGGAAAAAAACAAGTATGATACCATTCTTTGAAAACAAAAATAGATGAAAATTTGTATAAACACAGAAGAAACATTCTGAGAGAATACACAGAATTCCCAATGATGGTAATTTATTTATATATGTAAATATATATATATACATAAATTCAATTCTCATTGTTTGACATTTTACACCATGGCTTTCATGTATTATGCGGAATATTAATTTCTTTATAAAAGGACATATTGGTTCAAGATAACAAGTTTTAGGATTTTCATATTAGCAGTTTGATAGTGTTACTCAGAACACTTGAGTTGACCCAAAACCTAGTAGAGTACCTAATACATGCGACTAGAGCTCTCATTGTCATACTTACAACAAAATATTTCATTTAAAATGTCAAGGAATAACATAATACAATGTTGGTTAAAATTTAATTCATATGAAAATTTAACCTCACAATTCTTAACAACTTTACCCTTTTGAATGTCAGTATTTTATGCATATACAGTAACTTAGTGACTTCTGCGGACTTACATTGAAAGGTTATATTTGGGGTGATTTGTGATATGACGAGAAATACGTTGACCCTCCTCCCCCTCTATCCCCTCCCCTAGAACTTTGGCAGGCCTTGCAGCTGCCTGTACAAAAAAATACAATGAAAGTGATGTAAGTCCCAAGGCTCCAATAGAAAAGACAGTACATTCTGTCTCTGCTTCTCTCTCACTCCTTCCCTCCATCGGGAGAATTTAAACCAGGTCAACGCTAAATGCTCAAATTCAGCAAAAAAGAGAGGAAGAGTACTGAAAAGGGGCAAGCGCTGTCCTGGTGCGAGGAGAGCCCAGGGCATGGAGAGGAAGCAAGGGAGCGTGCCACCTACTGTTAGAATTTCCCAGCGCTGTGCTTGAAATGGTTGAGTATTCCGGACCAGTCTCTTCTTGTGTTACCGAATGTGTATTCGTGTGCTTCAGTCAGTAACTGCCCAAATTATTGGTGATCGCTCACTACCTGAAGACTTTAAGTTGTGGCTGGAATTCATGCTCATGTCAAATTTTACTGCTCTTCTTATGCTCCCCCGTTTGTGTTTAGCAAAGTTGTGAATGCCATTTGATTTCAAAATACAATGGATATGGCCCGCGAGGTATCAGGGAGGAAGCTGCATCCTTTCCCTGGTATCAGCAAAATCCTTACGACATGCTCTTCAACCGTCTGCTGCAAGCTCTTTTCCTCACCCCGGATGTGTTTCAGTGGATCTTCCAGATCTATCTTCTTGCTCTGCTGGTTAGTCTCCTGCATGGGTCCCTTCCTTACCCACTTCACTCCTTAAGTATTGTTGGACCGATACAAGAACTGAAATGCACTGGCGGCTGTCAAACAGAGGGAGGAATAGGCCTGTTTGGGAGTTGGTTTGCCCTTGACTTTCGTCGCTGCAGTGCAGTCCTCAAACGGTATCCGTGCCTGCCTCTTCTCTGCCCTCTTTCGTCTGGTCATTATCAATGCCAAATGAAGCAAAGAGCCCTGGTTGAGCCTCTCCTCCTCGGGGGTGTTTTAAGCAACAGACTCATCCACAAGACCGACCACCTGCAGTGTGCCCTGAGTGGCTCAGCCTCTGCAGAGAAGCTCCCTTCACCACATTCACCTCCTGCCAGCTGAAGGCTTCTGCAGGCCAGCGAGTCACCTGCCATTCAGAGTAATGTGCTTGGAAGGCGGCTTTCTGGCTCTTTCCTTGTTCATTGCCCCCACCAGGAAAGGCAGGCCCCATTTTGTCAGGTCCCTCGGCACATTCCCTCCTCTCTGAGCAACTTGGATTCTTGTCTCGTGCACATCAGGCCCAAACTTCCGGACACCGATATGTAGGTTTTCAAACACCTGTGAGTCTTAAAGAACCAAAGGTTTTTTTCTGCAGTTTTTGACAGGCTTTTGCCAGTTCCCAAACATGGAAACATTTGAAAAGTTTTTTTCCCTCCCTTTGCTGCCTTCAACCACCCTTGGATGAATGGATTTTGTAATTTGAGCTGTTGTCTTTTCTGGATCTGTCATTTTTGTTGTTCTCTGTGAAACACATACCTTGGAAGTGGGAGGTAAAGGAGTATCTCAGTTGTTCCTGCTCACTCCCTTTAGAGCCATCACTGTCTTCTTTCTTGTACCTCAGGTCAGACTTCGGTCCATCTTGTCCCACCGCAAAAAGAATACGCCCGAAGAGATGGGACAGAATGAAAGACCTCACGGCCCGATCTGCCGGGTTTAGAAGTGTGATTTTGTTCGCCCTAAACCAGAGAAAGCTTCTTCAACTGGTACATTTGAAGTTGCCCAACTACAAGGAGGTGCTAATTTGGATGAGTGCTACTGCAAAACAGAACGTTCACAGAACATAAACTTTTAACCTCTGGAGGGCTGAAATTTACTGTTGGTCACTCTCAAGTTTGACTAGTGTTTCATAGAATATTGGGTGCTGCAAATAGGAAGTGAAGGCATCAACTTATTAACCTCATTAAACCCGTGATTGGCTGGTGTGTACCTGCCATTTTAAAGAGACTAAATATAGAAGGGGGCAGATCTCAAAACACTCTTACACGTTAAAAATGTCCTAACTAAACATGAGCTGGCTTAAATATATAAGTATATGATTAAATAAACAGACCCATGTGAGAGTCTTCAGAGATAATCTAGTGGCCCTGGCAAGACTGAGATGTTTATGTGTCAGCATCATTGCCTAAGTATTCATCTACCTTTTGCTCTTCCCACTAGCAATCCAAATGTTACGATATTTTCACTGAGTCATAGGGGTTGTATATTAACTTCCAGATTGATTTCTCCTTGGATATAAGCAGGAGTAGTTGCAGAAGGGGTCACCAACTTTAAAAACAAACAGTGTTCCGGCAGGATGTCTGTGAAGTGGATACCTGTTCTCCTGCTGTTGGAACAGCTGAGTTTTCAGTTCAGCCCTGGGCGTTGTGGAAGAGTGCTCGTGTGGCCCACGGAATACAGCCATTGGATGAACATGAAGATAATCCTGGATGAACTTGTCCAGAGAGGTCATGAGGTGATTGTCCTGGCATCTACAGCTTCAATTCTTGTTGATCCCAATGAACCCTCTGCTCTTCAATTTGAAATTTTTTCTACACCTTTCACAAAAGATGATATGAAATTTTTTTACAGGAAGACGATCAGTAAATGGACAAACGATATATCAAAGGATACATTTTGGACATATTATTCACGAGTTCAAGAAATGCTTTGGGAAGGTTATGACATCCTTGCAAAGCTCTGCAGAGATGTCGTTTTTAATAGGAGAGTTATGACAAAACTACAGCACGCAAAGTTTGATGTCCTTCTTGCAGATGCTGTGGGGCCCTGCGGTGAGCTGCTGGCTGAGCTACTTCAAGTACCTCTTGTGTACAGTGTCCGCTTCTCTCCTGGCTATAAAACAGAAAGGTATAGCGGAGGCCTTCCTTTCCTTCCATCCTACGTACCTGTTATCTTCTCAGAATTAAGTGATCAAATGACGTTCAAGGAGAGGGTAAAAAATATGTTGTATGCCCTTTATTTTGACTTCTGGTTCCAAACATTTAATCAAAAGAAGTGGGATCGGTTTTACACTGACGCACTAGGTAAGTTGTGTTTTTACTTGGTAGCATGAAGTCCTAATTTTCCTAGTGCTTTGGCAGGTGTGTTTGTATAAATATTAAGTCAGAGAAATTTGTCTCTTATAAGAAAAATGATTAACCAATATATAATGGCCTTAGTTTTACAAATGTTATTAAAATGCTCAAATTATAAGGTTAGTCTGAACCCTGTGCTCCATGAGTGCAGAACACTCCAGGAAGTCGGACAGCCCCAGCTGAAGCACTGAGGATTTCTTCAGACAATCACATATCCATTCTTGTTTGTTTGTGTGTTTGTAATAGGTTATTTTACAGAAGAGTCTGAGGTCCACAGCAATGTCAAGTAGAGATTTACCCTATACATCCTACCTCCTCACAAGTACCGTCTCCTTTATCGTCAACATCCCCCATCAGGGAAGTACATGTGTTACAATTGATGGAAATATGTTGAAATGCCATTATTGTATAAAGTCCACAGTTTACATGAGGGTTCACTCATGGGGAATGTCTGTGATTTTGCACAAATTTATAATTTCATGTATCTATCATTATAGTATTGTACAGAGTAGTTTAACTGCCTAAACATCATCTGTGCTCTATTTTCCTAAAAATCAATTTTACTATAATTTTTTGCATGTCTCTTTTCCTCCTTTCTTCTTTTTTATTTTTGAATCATGTTTATTCTATTACACTTGTCTCAGAGTTTCCCCCCTTTGCCCTCCCCAATCCATCCCACCCCACTGGCCTAGGCAACCTATAGATTCAATGAGATTTCTAGCCACATACCAAAGATGTATTTCACAGACATCCCACCCCATAACCACTTTAAGTAAATGGTTTAAAGGTTCTAATCCAAAAGACATAGGGTAGATGAGTGGACCAGAAAAGAAAGTAAGAAGGGGAAGGGGAGGGAGAAGAAGAAGAAGAGGGAGACGAAGGAGGAGGAAGAGAGGGGGAGAGGAAGAAGAAGGAGTACAACAACAACGATGACAATAACCACAGCAGAGGAACATGTTTTAAAAATAAAATGGCTCCCCATCTCCACCCTGCCTGTGATAGTGCATATCTACCAATAACCACTTTATGTAAATGGTTTAAATGTTCTAATCCAAAAGACATAGGGTAGATGAGTGGATCAGAAAACAAGACCCATGTATGTGTTCTCTTAAAGAAACGCACCTTAGAATAAAAGATACACACTGACTACAAGTAAAGGGAGGAAAAAATTATTTCATGAAAAGGGGAAGGTAAAAAGATGAGTTAGCAGTACTTAAATCAGACAAGACAGACTTCAAAACAAGGGCTATTGAAAGAGGAGAAAAGGGCACTACATAATGATAAAGGGAACTATGAAACCAGAGGATATTACCTTAGTTACCGTTTACGCACCCAACATAGGAGCACCTAAACAAGTAAAACAAATCTTGATGTACCTAAAAGGAGAGGTTGATGGAAATACGGTCATAGTAGGGGATTTAAAAAACCCCATTGACTCCACTGGATACACTTTCCAGACAGAAGTACAGCAAGGAGATGGCAGCTCTAAATTACATTCTAGATCAAAAGGGTTTACTGGGTATTTCCAGAGATTTCATCTCAGAGCAGTAGAATATACATTCTTCTCAAGTGCACTTGGAAAGTTTTCTCAGATAGACCACATGGTAGGACACAAGACAAGTCCCAATAAATTTTAAACGATTGAAATCATGTGAAGCATCTTCTCTGACCATAGTGCTATGAAACTGGAAATCAGTCACAGGAAGAACACTGAAAAATACACAGAGGCCTGGAAGCTAAATAGCATGTGATTAAGCAAGGAGCAGGTTAATAATAAGATCAAAGAACAAATCAAAAGATGCCTTCAAACAAATGGAAGTAAGAACACCACAACCCAAACCAGTGAGACTGCAAAAGCAGTCCTAAGACTGAAATCCATAGCACTGCAGGACTAACTCAGGAAACAGGAAAAAGCTCAAACAAACAACCTAACTTTACACTTAAAGGCACTAGAAAAAAGGAACAACAAAGTCCCAAGTGAGTAGAAGTTAGGAAATGATGAGGATCACACACAAAAAAATAAATGAAACAGAGCCTCAAAAACTACAAAAGATCAGGGAACCCAAGAGCTGCTTCTTTGAAAAGGTAAACAAGACTGACAAACATTTAACCAGGCTCATCAAGAAAAAAACAGAAAGGACCCGAATAGATATTTTCAGAAAAGAAAAATGACCCCATTCGCAATTGTTTCAAAAAGAATAAAATGCCTAGGGATAAATTTAACAAACGATTAAGGGACCTGTACTCAGAGAATTATAAGACACTGAAGAAAGAAATTAAAGATGATAGAAATAAGTGGGAGCATTAATATCATTAAAACGTCCATATTACCCAAAGCAACCTATAGATTCAATGCGATTTCTATCCAGATCCCAAAGATGTATTTCACAGAACTAGACCAAATAGTTAAAAATTTTACATGGAACCACAAAATAGCAGATAGGCTGCAGAGAGCAACAGCGATCTAGAAAAAGAAGAACAAAGCTGGAAGAACAGGCACATTGATCAGCGTTAAAACAGTGTTATAACAGAGAGCCCGGAAATAAACCCACACCTTCCTCGTCAATTAATATTTGTCAGAGGAAGGAAGTGCATACAATGGGCCAGTGATAGTTTATTCAGTAAAATGGTGGTGGGGAAATTGAACAGATAATTGCAGAAAAATAATACTAGACTCCCTTTTTTAACCACACACAAGAATAAATTCAAAATGGACTAAAGACACAAATGTTAGACTCAAAACCATAGTCCTAGAAGAACTCACAGGCAGTAGAACCTCAGACATTGCTCTTAGCGATATTATTTCTGCTGTATCTCCTAAGGCAAGGCAAACAAAGGAATAAATAAACAAACAGGACTTCAGCAGACTAAAAAGTTCTGTAGAGCTAAGGAAATCATCAACAACATTAAAAAGAATGTACTGAATGGGAGACCGTATTCGCGGATACACCTGATAAGGGGTTAATGTCAAATTTTATCAATAGCTTATAAAATTCATCACCACCAAAACCAAACAATCCATTTAAAAAATGGGCAAGAGACCTGAATAGACACTCTTCCAAACAGGACAATGACATGGCCAATTGACGTATGAAAAAATGTTCAACATCCCTACATCAGAGAAATACATACTGAAACCACGAGGAGATATCACCTGACATCTGCCATAATGGCCATCGTCAATAAATCAACAAACAACCACTGCTGGAGAGGATGGGGAGAAAAGGAAAGCCTGGTGCACTGTTGGTGGGAATGCTGACTCGTGCAGACACTGTGGAAAGCAGTATGGAGTGCCTCAAAAAATTAAAAATGGAACTGCCTTATGATCCAGTGATTCCACTCCTGGGGATTCAGCTGAAGAAACACAATATACTCATTTGAGAGAAATATATGCACCACTATGTTGTTTGCAATGTTCTTTACAACAGCGAAGATTTGGAAGCAGCCCGAGTGTGCATCACTACATGAGTAGATGAAAGAGTTATGGTACATTTCCACTACAAAATCGTATTTGCCGATCAAAAAGAAGCAAATTTTACCTTTTGTGACAGGATGGCTGGAACCGGAGGACATTATGCTAAGCGAATAAGCCCGTCACGGTAAGACAAGGACCACGTACTTTCTCCCACACGTGGATTCTGCTATGCAAACTGAACCGCCAAGCAACATAAACACAGACTCATACAGAGAGAGAAAGCTGGCAGCTCTGTGGGGTGAGCGGTGATTTTCTTCTATAGCAGTAACTAAACATAGCAATAGAAGAAACAAAATCTAGTATTATAATAGGATTTCAATAAATAAGAAAATGAACCTATGATGTTAAGACTAATGATACTAGTAAATTCGTGGGAGGAACTACTGACTAAGAGTTCAAGAAAATAGGGAGCTTCTACTGACTTGTGGTATCCTCTATCGCTATCTGGCTGGCAGGTACATTGATGTATTGACTTCATGACAACTCACTAGGTATTATGACATTTTGAGCTGTTTCCTTAGGATACGTGCACTTTTCCTCTGTTTCTTCATACTGAAATGAAGGGTATGCCCTGCCGATATATTGCTGTGCTGCGTTGTTTTTGTTTTGTTGTGGAGAGGTGGCAAGTTATACACAAAAACTGATTTCTGTCTTTGTTAAGAATGTATGTAGTTCACATTCGTGTAGAAATTATAATTTCCTAAGCCAATAGCATACAGAATGATATTTCTTAATAAGCCAAATAAGGCAATAACATATACCAAACAAGGACTGGCTAACCACACTTTAGTTGCAGGCAAGGGGAGATGAAGGAATGAAGTCACACTGAATAAAGAATCGGTGCCCAACCAAGAGCTGGTTTCCAACTGCCAGCACAAAAGTAAAAGTCCCCTGTTGCTAGAGCACGTGGCTAGGGAGCGAGGTGATAGGTTGGAAGGCTGGCTCACCTGTCACAGGGATGCTTTGGGGGTTATCACCACTGTGTAAGAGACCTATGTTGCCATGAGACGATGGAATGTCCCAAGGGTCTCTGGAGAGTTTTCTGGTTAGTGAAGAGTCACTCCGCCCAAACCAAATCTCTCAAATAATCCTAATAGAGTCTCAGCCTTCATCGTCTAGAGGTGTCCTTGCCATAGGTGCTTCTCCACATCTTCTCATCAATAAGCCCCTGGGTTGGGGACAAGGGCCTCTGCTCATGAACAAACAGAAGGAGAATGACATCCCCACAGAACTTTCTCCATTTATATAAAAGCAACGATTTGGGGTTTTGGAATAAACAAGTGGATTAAAATGACTTCACTTAACCTTAAACAGGTGGATTTGAAATCACGTTACACCAAGACACACGAATTCAACATCTGTGGATCAAAGAGTGAAAACAATTAAAACCGTAGGAGAAGTGCTTTGGGGTGCTATTAGTGTGGCCAGCGAAAGCTTCTCTGAGACGTGACCCTGTCGCCAAGGCCTCCGCCAGAAGTGACCTGCAGCCTTGGCGTTGCAGGGAAGAATGTTCCGAGAGGGGGACAGAGGACACAGCACGTGCAAAAGTGCTGAGGGGGATACACACCTGGCAGCTTCGCTGAGCGGTCAGAAGGCCAAGGGGCCAACAATAGAGCGTGCCAGGACAAAGGGACAGGAGAGGTGGCTGCCAAGGGCCTGTCCGTTGTCAAAAGGCACGATTCGACCAAGTAAATTTGAAGATCTGATGAACTGCAAATCTGTATCAACTTCAAGAACTGTATAAAGATTTTTATGAATTACTCAATGCACCGTTAGCAACTCGAAGGTTCTCAGAGGCTTTGTACAAAATGGAAGGTTGGTATAGGAAGAGGGATGTGGTGGGGGAATTGTGAGGAAAAGGAAAAACAAGATTATGTTTAGACTGGGCATCCTGTCCCAGGAGAGGAATGACGAGGGTTTATCATGCAGATTGCCTCTTCTTCCCATGGAAGATGCAGACGGGCCACGTGACAGATCAACTCATCGGTGTGGAGCAGAAAATTGCAGACTGGATGATAAGGATAACATTTCTGGGAGAAGCTGAAATTGCAAGGCAAGCGGGTGTTAAATCTCGCTCTGGCATCACGGTCTTTCAGCAGAAGTAGCGTCATTTCGGGCCTACGGTGTCTCGATAACACCACTCAGGGTCTCATAGGCCAAAACAAGATTTGGAATTTACTCTAAATGGGATGAGAAACCAAATGGAAATTTTGAGCAAGAGAATGTGATAATCTTCTGTGTTTCAAAACAATGACATTCTGGGTGGGAAACAGACAACAGATTTATGAAGAGGAAAGGAGGAGCAAAGTGACCGCCAGTAAGGAGGCATCTCTCCCGCCATGATAAAATCACACTTCAAAAACTTCAAAAGCATAGCCTTCCAACTTCATTTCCCCATCTGACTTATGTTGAGGAAAGACATTCCAAAACTATCCAAAAATTTTATACAACTTGATTTGCGCCAATATACTTAATTTTCTTAAGTATCAAAAACAGCATACATTCTCCTCCATGGACAAACAATACCACAACTAGGAACTTTTTTCTAGTTCTCTGTTAGATAATATTGAGACCTGTCGCACTGCGCAGTGGCTAGAGGGGGCACGCTGCTGCAGGGGAGCGCCACAGAGAGCTCAGCCCTCCCTGAAACGTGAGGGCAAACGGCCGGGGCCAGCTGAGGCGGGAGCAGGGCTCTGAAATCCACACAGCCCGTCCCGGGGTTGTCATGGATGAGGGGGAATAAACACAAAACGTCGCAAACACTTCTCTGCTTGCCGGGAGAGCAGACGGGGCACTTCCCTCCTACCGGAGAAGGCCGAGGCACATCCCCCTAGTGGGGAAGGCCCTGTCGCCCTTTGTTCCAAGGCTTTTATTGAAAAACTTACCAGTGGGCTAGGTAACTGGAACGCATACGTACACTCGTTACATTAGCAGGATAAGTTTCGCAGAGAAGAGATACAATTAAGAAAACAAGAGACAGGAATTCACTGATTTACTTGGGCCTGAGAGGAGACCAATATAAACAAAATAGAATGAAGGTTAGGGCAAGCACCTTAACGACATAGGGTAAGGGGTATAAATAATGTGAATGTCCTTCGTGGCATGAGCTGGCCCGTGATCTGAGGAAAGAACAAAGCACACTTTAAAAAAATTACTTTTAGGCCTGGTTTCCCTAGCAACCGCCAGGCCTGATTTACAGCGGACTCCTGCACTGCTTCAAGCCTGAGCCCGGTGTGGGGAGGGAACCACCAAGAGATAAGGAGACTGCTTCTCGGCTGCAATGAACCTCCGGCTGTGTCCAAGCCAAGCCGAGAGGTGTGAGGGCCTTTTGCCCCTTCTCCGTGTCCCCCAATTTATTATCTGCCGCCAACGACGGCTGATACCTCTCTTAGGTCGTGTAGCTCAGCGCGAGGAAACTTACCCGTCGTTGGCCATTGACCATCTGTGGCAAAGCAGAGAGGGCGACAGGCCAAGTCTCCCCAGGAGCCCGTTTCTCCAAGGCCTCCTGATTATTTCCAGCCTTAGGGCCCTCCAGCTTGCTGGCAGGGTTACAGCTTCTGTAACCAGGCCGGGCATTTCCCAACAGAGACCCAGCAAAAACAGTGATGACGTCTTGTCCTCATTCCCGGATGACAAGGTGTGAGCAACTATAGTAGGGTGGTTATTAAAATACATAGCTTCCTAACTAAGATGCAAGAACTCACATCACCGTGCCCAAGAATCCAAAGTTAACGCATAAAGTTTGCCGAGTCCTAACTAGTTCCCTACTTTAGAAAGACCTCCTTCATAGCGCCAAGTCAGGCCCTAACACCTTCCAATTACCTGCCCCTTCCACTCTGGCTATTACTCTGACAGGAATAGCCACACGTACTGAGAATGAGTTTATCTTTCTGTCTGCCTTGGCTCTGAGGAAAGTCACAT